AACAACTTTGTTTTCTTCTGGGGAAGCTTTCAAGAGCAAGCCTCCTGAGAGACGGTGGAGATGGAAACAGGTAATGAAAAATCTCCAGTGATGTTAGGTTGAATTGAATGATCATATAGTGGATAAAGTTATAGCAGCAACTTTTTGTTTTGAAAATTGATGGGGCATGGAAACAAAAACAGGGTCCCCACCCTTTTGTTTATTCACTTTCTTCTTCACACTTTTCTTTCATTTTGATATATGAAAAACTATTTCTTTCATGATTTGATCACATTGTTTTCAAAATTTTAACATTTTTTTCTAACAAACTTCGATTTTACTTTGGTTAGAATATATGTTTGAGAGCCTACAAATTAGAATGTTTATGCTTACCTGTTTTTCTTTTCTTAATGTGGTTTCCCTTAGAAAAAATATGTATTATATTTCTGTACACACTTTGTATAATTTATAATTTTTTAAATGTAGATCTTTTGAACATGTAAATATTCATTTTTTGGTTGATGTGGCAAGCGCTAACGTAAGCAGATTTCAATCAATATGCACAAGATCTAAATAGGTGATGGCAAATGTTGTAGACTAAAAAAAAAATATATTTTTAGAGGACCTAAAAGCAATTATAATCCGCAAAAAAATTATCATCTTTTTAATTTAATTAAATCTTTTGTCTCATTTTAGTATTTTAATTTAAAATACACCACCTTTTACCCTTTTCAAACTTTATTATGTTCTATAAAGTATTTACAACTAAATTTTAAAATTTTTCTAGAGACAAAATCATGCTTCACTCGTAAGTTATTTATTATATCATCATTTAGAGAGTAGAAATAACTATTTCAATATGGAAATTAACAAATTTATTGAAATTTTATTTTACATAATCTTTGGATTACGTTTGACAATATAGTAAGAATGACATAACAAGAATAAAAATATAAAATGGCACGAATGACGTGACAAGGAAAAATAAAATAAGAAAATAAACTTAATTAATATATGGAATATGTAAAATGTAAAATGCAAAAAGAGAGAAATAGGAGATACGAATCAAATACACGTATTTGAAATAAAGAAATAGAAAAAGAGAAAGCAATATTTATAGGCTTCTTCAATAAGTGCCTTCCACACCACGGATCTCACAGCGTGTATGTGTGAGCTGTGTTTAGACGCTCCTCTATTTAAGCACACCATCTTTTCTTCTTTTTACTTTCTTCTTCTCATCTCATCTCTACCTAGCTATGCCTATTACCTTCTCTTTCTTTCCATTTCTCTGAACTTTCTTTCCTTTCTTCTTCTCTTCTTCATGTAACATAAGATATAAGATACACGTATTATATACATACATATAACTGAAGCCATCAATTTCATACATATATCTGCTTCTTGTGGAACAAGTTAGATAGTTTGTTGTTGCTTAAGGCTTAATTTGATGATGGAAGAACCTGTTGTGGTTAACAAAGGGGATGAGCCTTTGGATTTGCCTCCAGGTTTCAGGTTCCACCCCACAGACGAAGAGATCATCACTTGTTACCTCACGGAGAAAGTGCTGAATAGAGGCTTCAGTGCAACTGCTATTGGGGAAGCTGATTTGAACAAGTGTGAGCCTTGGGACTTGCCCAGTGAGTTTTACTCTCTCTATTGATCACCCTTTTTTCTTTTATGATTTTGACTTCTGTTTTTGTTTTCTCTATTTGAATATATATGACGATGATTGATTGTTTATTACCATCTTTCATTTTCACTTTGGAGTGGTTGTTTTTCATTGATCTGAACCGGGTTGCTGTGTTTTATTGTTTTGTTGGGCTTGTAGAAAAAGCAAAGATGGGGGAGAAAGATTGGTACTTCTTCTGCCAAAGGGATAGGAAGTATCCAACTGGCATGAGAACCAATAGAGCAACACAATCTGGATATTGGAAGGCCACTGGCAAGGACAAAGAGATTTACAAAGGGAAGAACAATCTTGTGGGGATGAAGAAGACCCTTGTCTTCTATAGAGGAAGAGCTCCAAAGGGAGAGAAGACAAATTGGGTTATGCATGAATTCAGACTGGAATGCAAATTCGCATGTTACAACCTTCCTAAGGTTGCAAAGGTAATTGATTAACCACCACCTCTCTCATATCTTTCTCTCTCTTTTCCTTTTTGATGGAAGAGGTTGAGATTTTAATAATCATGGTTTTTCTTTCTCACCAATATCTCTGGCTTTCAAATTTTAATCACCGCTTTTTAGAAAAGTGCCTTTTGTGTTGTTTTGAGAGTTTTCTTTCAGGAGGTGGTCCTCTAATAGTACCTTTTGCTTTATTTAGTTCAATTGTTGAGATTCTAACAGTTACATATATATACTTACTTTTTCGTTTTTTCTTCGGGGATGTTATTTTATTTCAGGATGAATGGGTTGTGTGCAAGGTTTTCCACAAGAGCAACACCGATGTTAACAAAAGGGTACACCCAATTAACCCTGGCCTTCTGAGAATGAACTCAATTGGAGAAGATCTATTTGATTTCTCTTCACTTCCACCTCTGGTGGATCCTCTCTTTGACCAAATATCACACAAGCACATTGACAATGATTTCAAGGGTACTAGTAATAGTATTAACACACCTTCATCATCATCGGCTAAACAACCCCCAGGTGGCTACTACCTTCCCAATTTCATGAACAACATCAGCAACAATCACCACATGCAGATGATGATGATTAAGCCAGAAGAACATAGAATCTATGACACTCCTCCCACCAACATTAACGATGCCTCCACCAGTCAAGGGAATTTCAACTCTAACAGCCCAACGGGAATTAGCACAAGCAATAACACCCTTCAAAACTCAACCTCACCCTTCAACATGTTCCAAGATTATTATATGCACCAAGGCAAGAACAGTTTCCAACAGTGCAAGATGGAGCAATTCTCCAACACTAACCAGCCTGTGGTCAGTGCCTCTCAAGACACGTGCCTGAGCAATGACAGAAACACTGACACTTCCTCGGTGGTGTCAAAGCAAGACAACATGGGAAGGAACAAGGCATTGTACGAGGATCTTGATCAAGCTCCTTCATCAGTTGCTACCCTCTCAGATTTGGATTCCCTCTGGGATGATTACTGAACAAGAACAAGAAATGATCAAGAGAGAAATTAATTTAAGTAATTTGTTGATTTATGGTTTTTTTTTTATATATATATATACACCATATTTACATATTTTCTGATTTTAGACCGTCAAATATTTACATAGATATGTTATAAATTAGACATGGAAAAAGTTCTGGGATACATGTATACTGTATAGATTTATGATTGATTAATTAGATTATCCAGGTCTTGTTATAGTTAGGCTTTTATTCCATAGATCAATGTAAGGAGAAGGATTTGATGGTGGTCATGTACATTTTTCTTTTGTTATATATTAGTGAGTTTGTTTTATTCATTAATATCTTTATTTGTTTTTCAGTTGCATTTGTATTAATTCTCTAGATTGTAACGAATCTATTTAAATACTACTTTCAAGTACTTATTGCTCATCTATATTCTTGTTGATATTCCAAACAAATATAATCAAGATTTATTAGGAACCATATTTTGAAGCCCTTCAATGATCTTCATGCGGTACACTTGATATATATTTTATGCTGTGTGGAATATTTCTGTGTGACATCTCACCAAGAGTGGGGAGAATTAATTCCCAAGGAAATTGTGCATTTGTTTTTTCAACTTTTGAATTTAAAGGTTGTGTTGTGGCTTCTCATAGCTAGTGCCTCCCACCCCCTTCTAAAGTTAATTTCAAGTACCCAAAAGATACTATGCTCCGGATATAATTAACTCCAACGAATTACGAAACAAAATTTCAAAGTATAAACTAATGAACAAAATGGCTACACAGAGATCATATTTAAATTGTAAGAAATACTACTTGGTACTATTAATTGAGTTATTAACTGTACACAGGGAAAGTAATTAATGAGAATTATTTAAGGGTGAATGTGAAGAGAGGAATTATGAGTGATGAAGCACGTGAATAATTCCTGAATCCGTGCAGAAGATGCCTCTGGTGGTATAGTTTCCAGAATATGGTTGTTTTAGTGACCCACACACTAATAATTATTACAAACTGTTTTAGTGACCACAACAATACAACATGAAAATGGAGGGTTTCTTGACTGCCGCTTGAATCTTGTGTCGAAAGAAACCTAGTCAGCACATGTCTACCAACCCAATACTCCACACTTTGAGTTGTCGTTGTTGTAAATCTGTCTTCTGATATTTGTTCAAAATATACATGTTTTGTACAAATACGAATGGTGTACATGTGTAGAGGTTATAAATGTAGCTTGTTGAAGCAATGTATGAATAATGAATAATGAATAATGAAAGGAACATAATTTGAATATTTTGTTGCCCTTGTGTTTACCCGTTTTTTGAGTAGGTGTGTCGCTTAGGCACATAATTGAGGCTAAAGTGATAAGATGGTAGGAAGAGAACAAAAGTGGAAATAGAAGTGAGTGTGTGAAGAAAGAAAGGGATAAGAGGGAAGAGTTTAAACGCAACACATAGGGTGTGAGAAATAAGGGTCATGTGTATTTTTATTTATGGTATGGTATGGATGTGTGGATAATGGGGGAAGGGCATGCTATCGAATATTGGAAGAAAAGAAATGGTTGATGATTCTCGTGAGTATGGAGTTTTTGGGGGTTTCATTTGATGAAATGGAAAACATGCTAATGCACATTCCTTTCCATTCAAAGCAAAGCTTTCATTGTGGTTTCATGCTTCACAAAAACTTAACCGTCCTTTTTTATATACATGGTTGAGACTTCTTCGCCTCCCTTTTTGTTATTTTCCCTCTTTTTCATGGGAAAAAATGGAGTGAAAATGATGGAAAGGTTGAGAAAGTGAATTAGGGGAAGCAAAGGATGAAAGATAATAATAATAATAATAATATATAACATAAGAAGCAAAGGGTGAGAGGAAAAGAAAGAAATAAAAATGGAAAATGGGAGAAGTACACATATTTACATGCTTGTTTCTGAATCAGAAAACCCTGATTTGTTGCATGAAAACAAGGGGTGAGGGATGATGTTGGGGCTCACCAACCAATGAGGACCCTCCATCAAACAATCATCAGTGTCCCAATGAAAACGAAATTGGTAGCTATAACCTCATCATATGTCACCTTTTTTTCTAAAATTCCAACTTCATTCATTCCAATGGCCTCGTAACCTTCCATGTCCTGTTTTCTCCTTTTCTTCTCTTCTCATGATTATTGTTATTATCACCATTATTCTTAATGTTTTCTCATTATTTCGTTTTTTAAATTGTGACCAAGTGCTTGACCCCATTCAAATGTATTCTATAATATATTCTCTTCATGAAAACAACAGAGTTTAGGTACCTCACCTAATAAGCATATATACATATATATATATTAATTAGGTTTTGGATAACATTCTTTGAACTATCAATTTCTAGTATTTTAATGGCTTGATAAATAAAAAATCTGGAGGCCCCCTCTACTTTTAACACAAAATAACGCTTTATATTATATATGTGTGTGTTCCATTATTTTGTATATTTGTACACGTGAAAGGGGTTTATCAAAATTAGGGGTGCTAAAAGTGCAGGTTCAAAGCCCCTACCTAAAACGGATTAGTATAGTTCTTTTTATTAAAATATTTAATTATAAATATCTTTTATGTCTTTCTTAAATAATTAATATTTTTTATTAAATAAACAGTTTACATATTAAATTACTTAATTCTAATTAATAATTTAAATTTAATTTACATTTGTTTATGACTTAAATTATAAAATTACTGTGTATGTGTTTTTTTAAACAATATAATAAAAAATATAATTTTTAAATTATATATAATTATTTTATTTTAATTTTATTAAAATTAATTTTAATATAAATTTGGGTTAACTTGCCGTTGAGTTGTGGATTAGATACGCAATCTGAGAAGGTTTAGGATGACACTATTGTTTTTTTTTAATAAATATTTTTATAAACATTTACAAAATAAATTATTATATGTTTGAATAAAAACTTTATAATTATTATGTTTGGGCAAAATAATATAAATTTATTCAATGTAATTTTTTATAGAATATTTTAATAATCATCAAATAAAAGAATATTAAATAAAAAAGCTAAAAACTACAAAACAAAAAATAGATCAAACGTATATACATTAAACAATTAAAAAAATAAAATAACAAAATTTACTAATTAAAATGAATAAATAAATAAGAACCAAATATTAAAAATATTAACTATATTTTTTGATCACGCTTATCAAATTAACACTACTTAACTATAATAATTTCAGTATTACTAAGTTATTAGCCAAAAATTTAGAAAAAAAACCTAAAGTCATATCGAACGAATATGAAATTGATTATTATCAAATTATTTCTTATAATAAAAATTAAAAAAAACATAATACAAATAATAAAAGATTAAAATAAAGATCTAACCTAATACAATTAAAATAAATAAATATGAATGGAATGCAAAATATGTAAAAGATAATATACCAAATTATATTATGCTAATACTATTATATAACAAATGTGAATTTTTGGTATGCAACTAATAATTATCATAGGAAAATAAATTAAATAGCAAAGAAATAAATCAAGGAAATAAACAATTTGCAAACAAAATAAAAGGCTTAAAAAAATAAATGTGAAATAGGTTGATTCTACTTTTTTTAAAATAGGATTCATCGCTGATTTTATAAAGAATATTGTTGAATTGATTATTATCTTAAATTTTCAAATTAATCAATATAAGTTCTGAATTAATTTGTTGGTGTCGTCATAGTTAATAAAAGTAACTTTTCAATTAAAAGTAACAATTTTTTATATTAATCATAGCAAATTTATCCAAAGTAACTTCTCAATTAAATATTATTATATCTAATCATGTTTATTATTTTCTTTCTTTTATTAAGTAAAAAGCTAATTAACTAAAGTAATTTTTTGATTAATTCTAATTAAAGTTTTCACCTTTAATCAGAGTAACTTCTCAATTATTGGTAAAAACTCATTCAATCACATGAAAGTTTCTAAAATTAATTAAAGTAACTCTTTGACTCATATGATTAATATGCATATAGATTTAACACTGTGCTAACTTACTAAAGTATAAAAATCATTACTTTTACTTTATTTGGAGATAAAAGACATAGATAATAATAAATCACAACAATAATAACAAGAACAAACAATTTATTTCATTCTTACCTCAGAATTCAGTTAAGAAATTACAACAGAATCAATCCTAGAGACTTAATACTCCGTGGATGGGTTGTTTCACATCACGACTGAATGATAAAGTGAAAGAATAGTTGAAAAAGGGAATGGAAAGAAAGGAAAAGGCGTGGTGGATGGTTGCTACATGAATTTAAGATTGATCCAACTTATCTTTTATTATAAAGATTATTACACTATCAAAACCTTTTTAGCTAAAAAAGATAAGAAAAAAGACCTCATACTCCAATCTTTCTTGTCCATTCTCCTATTTCTAGTTGGTGAGTGAGTTTTTTCAGCAAACTCATTTCTTCATTTTTTTCATGCTTTTTTTGCTATTTTCATGTGATACTTGACTTGACTTTTTGTAATTTTGATTATTTGCTATTCATGGCTTTATCTTGAAGTATCATGAATAATTAATCAATTTATTCCACAAGTTGATCTTTAGGTGCAACTGCACTAATACACCTCAGAATATCCAAAACACATTTATGCAACTAAAAATTATTTTTAACATGTTTTTGTAACTCATGCTCAATAAACCTAGCTATAATAACAACTCATTAAAACAACATTTTAAAACACACAAACCAATTAAACATTTAAGTTTAGAATTTAAATAAGTGCAAAAATTTGCACTCTGTCACTTTTTAAGCAGTTTAGCTTGTAACTAGTTTAGCTTGTAACTAGTTTAGCTTGTAACTAGTTTAGTTGTTCAGGAATTTAGTTTTGGAGTACTTTTTACTTTTTAAATAGTTTATCTTTTAAGTAATTTACCTTTCATACAAGAGATATGGATTAAAGTGTTGTAATATGGATTGTCTATATTTTGTTGTATGAAAGATTTGTATG